AGGGAAGATGGCACCACCAGCGCCAGCCTGGGTAACCCCCAAATTCCACTTTCCAAGTGTGGAGCCGACACACTGCTTATTGCTGTCATGTCATTGTTTCCCCGCTGTGAAACTGTATGGCAGGACCATCAGAACTTGGGGGTGGTGCTTGCTGGTCCCAAGCTACTGCAGAGATGTTGCTGATCGCACAGTGGGATGAGATGGGCAGAGTCCGGCTTTTGTAAGGCAGTGAGAGCCGGCTCCAGCATGCCATGGTCCTATCCTGCTTTAGGAAGGCCAGAAGGTGTCCCACAAGTGTCAGGTTGTACAACTCTGATTGCCCATTGGCATCGCATGGGGGGTTATTTACTTATGAATTCGAGAGGCAGGGACAGGGTGGGGGTGGGGAGAGGGAGAGATGACTCCTAACTACTGATTCCCAAACTGCTCATATGGGGCTGGGCAGGGGCCAAAGCCAGGAGGTGGACACTGAACCTAGGTTTCCCACACGTGTGGCAGGAGCCCAACCCCTTCTGCCATCACTGCTGCCTCCCGGTGTGTGCATGGGCAGGAAGCTGCAGCCGGGAAGCAGAGCCCGGGCTCTGACGTGGGCTGTGGGCATCTTCACTGCTAGGCTAGGCATCCGCTCTCACAAGGGAGCGTCTAGAAATTCCTATCTAATTATCCTCCTAGATCAGCTGAATTCAGAATGTCTCTACCAGGCCTTTCACCTTAGTTTGAATAAAATGTTTGTTTATTTTCACCTACTTGAAAGGCAGAGTGACAGTGAGAGAGAGAGAGAGAGAGAGAGAGAGAGAGAGAGAGAGATCTTCTATCAGCTGGTTCACTCCCCAATTGGCCGCAATGGCCAGAGCTGCGCTGATCCAAAGCCAGGAGTCAGGAGTTTCTCCCCGGTCACCCACGCAGGTGCAGGGGCCCAAGCACTTGGGCCATCTTCTACTGCTTTCCCAGGCCATAGCAGAGAGCTGGATCGAAGAGGAGCAGCTGGGACCCGAACCAGCGCCCATGTGGGATGCCGGCACTGCAGGTGGTGGCTTAACCCGCTACACGGCAGCGCCAGCCCCGCCTCAAGTCTCTTGATGAGGCATGCTTGAAAGCTTTTTGGGGGAGAGGGAGGAGGGGCGTGGTTTCTGCACTAACGGGTGTGCCCGGCTGTGTGCACCCCAGACCTACGGGAGCCGGAACCTGAAGCACGTGGGCGTCATCCTGCAGCGCGGCTCGCTCATCCTGCTGCTCTGCTGCCTGCCCTGCTGGGCGCTCTTCCTCAACACCCAGCACATCCTGCTGCTCTTCAGACAGGACCCGGCCGTGTCCAGGTAGCGCAGGCCAGGCCAGGGGGCAGCGCGCGAGCACGCATCCCGGCCGGGGACGGCAGAGGCCACGCCCCCAGAGGGGTCAAGATTTCCTGGGGCCTGAGATCTAGACCCCCTCCTCCTCTGGGTGAAGGCTTTTGGGGGAAGTGAACTGCACAAACTCCCTCCGTGTGGCATGTGGGCGGGGCGCTTGGTTCACAGGAAGTGTAGGCTGTAATCGCGTGGAGACTCGGGGAACCCAGGATCAGTCCTTGGCCCTGTGTGCAGACATGTTTCTGCTCATCACATCTGGTGGCGGGAGAGGACGCAAGCATTGGCTGTGCGACGTGGAAGCACTCCACCGACAGGAATTTTCTGGCCTTCGTGCTGGGGCCGAAAAGCCGAGTCCTGAGCCTGCAGGCTTGGTGGGACCAAGAGAGCCCATCTTGGTTGTAAGAGCACAGACGCTCACATACGCTCCAACAGCTTGCCTGGAGTGGAGAGGGCGGTCTGGGGGGCTTGGTCCTGCCTGTCTTCCGCTGAGATGGCGGCAGCTCCGACGCTGGTTTCCTCTTTCCCTAACAACAGGCTCACGCAGACCTACGTCACCATCTTCATTCCAGCCCTGCCTGTGAGTGTCCAAGGGTTTGGAGCTTGGGGGCTGCTGGCGGGAGGCGGCTGTGGAACTTACAGCCCACGCGACTCTCCTAGGTGCTGTTGGCTTCGTCAGGGAAGTGTGAATCGAATTATGCCCGTCCGAGTGTGGATCTAACTATGCCGGAGGGATGTAGGCATTTGTCTCTAAGGAAATGCCAGGTTAGAGGTGCCCATTTCAGGAGACTGAAATTGGACTGTCTTGGAGCTCCAGGGAGGTGGATTTAAAAGACTAATGTTAGGGTGATGGGCATCACTTTTTTTGTTTTGTTTGCTGAGTGTGATCACCTAGAACGTGTGTGTTAATATTTGATGCAGTTTTGTGCAGTGAACGGACAGTCAGAGCCAAGTTTTGTTACGTGGGAGAGCGGCACTGAATGCGTCCGCTGGGACTGCCGGGACCTGGCACCACGGACTGGTGGCCTCAACAACAGAGATTTCTTTTCCCACAGTTCCAGGTCCTGGAGGTTCAAGGTCAAGGAGCCAGGAGGTTTGGTTTCTCCTGGGATCTCTCCTGCTGCCTCCTCACAGGGCCGTCCCATGGGCTTGGGTTAGGGCCCTATCCTATCACCCTCACCCTCTCTCTCTCTCTCTCTCTTTTTTTTTTTTTTTTTTAAGATTTTATTTACTTATTTGAGAGGCAGAGTTACAGAGAGAGAGGTCTACTGTCTTCTGATTTGCTCCCCAAATGGTCTCAATGGCTGGAGCTGAGCCGATCCAAAACCAGGAGCCAGGAGCTTCTTCCAGGTCTCCCATGTGGGTGCAGGGGCCCAAGGACTTGGGCCATCTTCTACTGCTATCCCATGCTATAGCAGAGAGCTGGATCGGAAAAGGAGCAGCCAGGACTCGAACTGGTGCCCGTATGGGATGTGGCGCCGCAGGCGGAGGCTTAACCTGCCATACCACAGCACTGGCCCCTATCACCCTCTTTTTAATCGAATCCCCTCTTCAAAGACCTCCAATGCAGCCACATTGCAGACTTAGGGCTTCTGTGTGAATTTAGGGGACACAGTCAGCCCCATGATCCTGGCTGTAAGCGGCCCTGTGTTCTTTAGTTTATCCCGGAAGCTTTCATGTGTGCTGTGCTCTCCTCACTCCATTACACAGGAGGGTGGCCTGGCCCACAGGGAGGTGCCCTCTGAGAGGTGACCCTGGTCCCCTGTCCCTCCCTTAGAGCCCTCTCTTGGCACCTAGGAAACTGCACCTCCGTTCACCAGGCGAGGGGTTGAATGGATCACGTTTGTTCATAAACCACAAGGATCCTGACCCCCCGCCTGGCACACAGAGCCCTCCTTGGCTCCGCTGGGAATGGCCAGGCAGCCCAGGCTCCCGGCTTCCTGCTGTGTGGCCGAGCTGCACTGCTGAGCGGTTAAACAAGCATCTCTCTTGTTCTCTTGTAGGCGACCTTTCTTTATACCTTGCAAGTGAAATATCTGCTCAACCAGGTAGTGTTGACTGTCTTTTTCCTCTGAGCACTTTGGGGATGGGGAGGTCAGGGTGGAGGCATCGCTCCTCCTGGGAACCACTGAGAGACATTGTTGGGTATTGGGTCCCCAGGGTGTTGATGTACAGAAGTTTGTTAAGAAAGGAACACATTATTTTTGGTTCTGGAAAGCTCTTATCTAATTCCTACCTGTAAATATTGTCATTGGCAGTGTTAGGATCAGACCTGGCTCTGTTTTTTTTTTTTTTTTTTTTTTTTTTTTTTTTTTTTTTGCTTGAAAGGCAGCATTACCGAGAAAGAGGGAGAGAAAGAGAGAAATCTTCCATTCAATGGTTCATTCCCTAAATGGCTGCAAAGGCTGGGGCTGGGCCAGGCTGAATTTAGGAGGCTGGAACTCCAAAGTGGGCCATCCTCTGCTGCTTTCCCAGGTACGTTAGCAGGGAGCTGGACTGGAAGTAAACCAGACAGGACTCCAACTGGCACTCCTATGGGATGCCTGCAATGCAGATGGAGGCGTAACTCGCTATGCCGCAACACCAGCCCCTGGCTGCTTTTTAACCCAGCTCCCTAGGTTGAAGGGTGCAGCTGCCTGCTCCCCAGAGATTGTGAAGGGTCAGAGCCCCCCCCATCTGGCTCCCAGGAGCCAGCCTCTCCGCTGTGTTCAGTCTGAACCCCCTCTTTCCCCAGTGGGGATGTGAACCCTCCAATTGCAGGGATAGCTAAGAAGGAGGGGCTCAGGTGACCTCAGATGGAGCAGCCCTGGGAGGGAGGGGGGTCAGCACATGGGGGACCCTCATGTGGACCCAGGTCCTGTTCCCTTGGAACCCGTGCAGCTGAGATGGAGGTAGCGGGCTGAGAGATGGAGATCTCAGAGCCCAGAAGTTCTGCTCCTGGGTCAGAAGTCCAGGCTGCCCTTTTGTGTGCTAAAATGATTTCAGCCCTAGAGAGGGAGGTGGCATGTTTTCCATTTCCTGATAGGCTTTCAAACAGCAAAGTTGCTCACAGCCTGGGTTTGAGAACAAAATTGCTCAGTGGGTCAGAAAGCAGCAGTGGGGGTGGGCATTTCACCTGGAGGTTGACACCAGCGAGCCGCGGGGCTCAGTGCACAGCTCCAGGTCCCGACTCCATCTTTGTACCAACCTGGACCCTGGGAGGCAGTGGGTGATGGCGCACATGCTCGGGTCCTTGCTACCCCTGCGGGAGACCTGGGTTGAATTCCCGCCTTCCGCCTGGCCCCGTCCCTGCGTGTGGGCATTTGGGGAGTCACCAGGGAAAGGGAGCTCTGTCTGTCTGTCTGTCTCTTTCCAATATGAAACTAAAATTTAAATATAAAAGAAGCAATAAGCATTCACAGAAGGTGGTGCAGGGGGTCTTTAGGACCGTGGGGAGTGGGGAGAGAGAGTGTCTCCTCTGACTTTTTCACCTGATGGATGGCAGACCTGGTCTCCTCTCCCATTTTTCCTGCTTTAATTTTATGTTTGTGTCCTAAGTCTGTCTGTCTATCTGTCTATCTGTCTTTCTTTCTGATTTATTTTTTATCTGAAAGGCAGAGCGACAGAGGGAGACACACAGAAAGAGACCATCGTATCCAGATTCTGGTTCATGCCACACAGTAGCTGGGCTAGGCTGAAGCCAAGAGCCAGGAGCTCCAGGGTTCCCAGGACTCAGGCTACCTTCTGGTTGCTTCTCCATGCAGTAGCAGAGGCTGGATCAGGAGCAGAGCAGCTGGGACCCAAACAGGTGCTCTAAGAGGGGGTGTTGGTGTTGCAAGCAATGGCTTAACCTGCTGTGCCCTAATGCTGTTCCTGGGCCGTGAGCCTTTAAAAAAAAAAAAAAAGATTTGTTTATATTTGAAAGGCAGAGTTACAGAGAGGTAGAATCAGAGAGAGAGAGAGAGAAAGGTCTTCCATCCACTGGTTCATTCCCCAGATGGCTGCAACGGCTGGAGCTGCACCAATCCCAAGCCAAGAGCCAGGAGCTTCTTCCAGGTCTCCTGCATGGGTGCAGGGGCCCAAGGACTTGGGCCATCTTCTACTGCTTTCCCAGGCCATAGCAGAGAGCTGGATCGGAAGTGGAGCAGCCAGGACTTGAACCGGTGCCCATATGGGATGCTGGCACTGCAGGTGGTAGCTTCACCTGCCATTATGCCACAGCGCCAGCCCCACTGCTAATTTTAATCTGAGACACCAGCCAGACTGGCTGTTTCCCCCACCCTTTGTGCTTGGGAGTCAGAGACGGTAGGTCCTTTCCGCACCCCACAGAGAAACACTGGTTTCACAGGCTCTTCTTAGGTCCCTTTCTGAGTTTCAGTCTTCGTGGATAGAACATTCTACTTTCATTTCCTGTCTGAGGTCACAGGTGTTTAACCTTTGAATCCCTGTCAATGTTTGTCGTCTCTGAGATGACCCATTTCTCTCTCTCTCTCTTTAAAATATTTATTTTAAATATTTAAATAAAAAATAAATATTTAAAATATTTATTTTATGTATTTGAAAGGAAGAGCTACAGAGAGAGAGAGAGAGAGAGAGAGAGAGAGAGAGAGAGAGATACACAGAGAAATGTCTTCTATCTGCTGGTTCACTCTTCAAATGGCCACAATGGCTGGGGCTGGGCCAGGCTGAAGCCAGGAGCCAGGAGCTTCATCCGGGTCTCCCACATGGGAGGGGAAGGGAGAGAGATTGGGGGGAGCAGTAGTGACCAGACCCCCCACTGAGCCTGCCTGTTCTGCCTGTGTGTGTGTGTGTGTATAAGGTGGAAAGGCCATGCCTCCCTATGGATCTCAGGTGTGGCTTGCACTGTCTCCTTGCTCTAGGGCATCGTACTGCCCCAGGTCGTCACCGGAGTTGCAGCCAACCTTGTCAATGCGCTCGCCAACTACCTGTTTGTGTATCAGCTGCATCTTGGGGTGATGTGAGTCTGCCCTGCTCTTGGGGCACACAGAGGGGGACCCCTTATGTGTGGCTTTTCCCCAGATTGGTGGTGGTGGGGGAGATGAGTGGGCCCTTTAACTTGCCCCAGCTCTGGAGATGCTGTGAGGGATGCAGGGGAACGCGGCTCTGGGAAGAAGACTGCAGGGCTGGCTGGAGACGGCGCGGCCAGGGAGGGCCGGAGCCCAGGTCCCTCCCCTCACAGAGGGCCTTCCTCCCAGGGGTTCTGCGCTGGCCAACACAGTAGCCCAGTTCACCCTGGCCCTCCTCCTCTTTCTCTACATCCTCAGGAGCAAAGTGTATCAGGCCACGTGGGGAGGTAAAGACGCCTTCTGTCTTCCAGCGTGCACATGAGTTTGGTCTCTGCTGGAGTTCCAGCCCAGTGGCTCATCTCTGTCCCCTCTGCAGGGTGGTCCCTGGAGTGCCTGCAGGACTGGGCCTCCTTCTTCCGTCTGGCCATCCCCAGCATGCTCATGCTGTGCATGGAGTGGTGGGCTTACGAGATCGGCAGCTTCCTGAGCGGTCCGTGTGAGGACAGATGACGACCACGGGGGTGGGAGGAACCTTGGGGCCCTGCCCCAGCTCAGGGCGCCAATTCTCTTTCTCTCTCTCTCTGTCTTCACCAGGTATCCTGGGCATGGTGGAGCTGGGTGCCCAGTCTGTCACTTACGAGCTGGCCGTCATCGTGTACATGGTAAGTGTCCGAGAGTTTCTGGTGAGATGCTAGACATTTTTATGGAAGCTTTCCATGGATGGGCACAGGTGTTTGTCACTTTAGATAACAATGCTCCATCCTGGAGCCCAGGAGGGTCCTGTTGGGAGGTTGGTTCTTTCATGTGAGCTGAAGGGGACACCAGCAGAAACTCCAGATGGTCTGCTCGTGCTGCGAATCCTAACACCGTTTCCATCTGAAACCTTTTAATTGTATTTCTTTTTTTTTTTTATTCTTTTGACAGGCAGAGTGGACAGTGAGAGAGAGAGACAGAGAGAAAGGTCTTCCTTTGCCATTGGTTCACCCTCCAATGGCCACCGCGGCCGGCGCACTGTGGCTGGCGCACTGCGCTGATCCGATGGCAAGAGCCAGGCACTTCTCCTGGTCTCCCATGGGATGCAGGGCCCAAGCACCTGGGCCATCCTCCACTGCACTCCTGGGCCACAGCAGAGAGCTGGCCTGGAAGAGGGGCAACTGGGACAGAATCTGGCGCCCCGACCGGGACTAGAACCCGGTGTGCCGGCGCCGCAAGGCGGAGGATTAGCCTAGTGAGCTGCGGCGCTGGCTACCTTTTAATTGTATTTCCTCATGGTTAAGACTCTCACATTGTCACAATGCAAATACCTTGAGAGACATGTGGGGTCTCCATTGCAGCCAGCTGAACCACCTGGAAGGATGACACAACTTGATCTTTTGAGTGTGACCAAAGATTGACCACTGAGGTGTGAGGTGCCAGGCTGCCTCTCTGCTCCACGCTCTCACTCTGCGGTCTCCTGTTCCTTTTAGATCCCTATGGGCTTAAGTGTGGCTGTCAACGTCCGGGTAGGAAACGCGCTGGGTGCCGGAAACATTGAGCAAGCAAAGAAGTCATCCGCGGTTGCGCTGCTGGTCACAGGTACTGAGTTAGACCCATCTGTGGGACAGATGCCTGCATGGGCAGCCCAGGTGCCCCCCTCCTGTGGGGCTCCCTGTTCCCAGTGCTGGTTTTTTTCCCCTACCCTTGTACCTCCAGAGCTGATTGCTGTCGTCTTCTGTGTCATGCTGTTGAGCTGCAAGGACCTTGTAGGGTACATTTTCACTAGCGACCGGTGAGTGCTGGAGCTTTCTTGATGTGTGAAACCTGTGATAAAGGCATGATTAAGTTGGATTGATGCGATCATGGGGTAGGGGTTCCCTGGGATTGTTGCTTGGGAGAGGGGTATCTAAGTCGTTTTGCAAGATCAGAAATCTCACCGATTCTATGTGGGAATTGACTTAGGGTCTAAAATGCCAATTGGAGGGGGCTTGGCGACATTATGCTTCTGGTGGTTGGAATCCTCATGTGTTTTCAAGAAACTCCTTTCTGGTACCATTATATTACCTTTCCAGCTAATCATTTTCTTCCTAATGGCAACCATCAGCTTGGTATCTCAGCATCTGCCACAGTGCCTGCTTTGTAGTTGCTGTGTGATATGTTTGTCAGACCACATTGAGTTAAAAATCTCACCAATGAGCCTTCTCAACTGTCACATTATAGATGTGAACATCCCTAATGGGAAAATCTAAAATCCCAGATTCTCTGAGGTCCAAAACTTTTGTGTTTCAAGATTTACTTATTTTATTTTTTATTTGAGAGAGAGAGAGAGAGAGAATCTTCCATCCACTGGTTCAGTTCCCAAATGCCTACAGCAGCCAGGGCTGAGCCAGGCTGAAGCCATGAGTCAAGAGCTAGGAACTCCGTTTGGGTCTCCGACCTGGGTGGCAGGGACCAAGTGCTTGGGGCATCATTCAATTCCTCTCAGGTGCATTAGCAGGGAGCTGGATAAAAAGCAGAACAGCCAGGACACCAACCAATTGATATGGGATACAGGCATTATAATCTACAGCCTAACCTGCTACAATGCAATATTTGTTCCATCCAAAACTTTTTGAGCACAAATATGGCATAGGAAAAGTTTCAGATTTTGGATTTTCAGATTAGAGACATTCAACTTGTAAAGTTTATGAAAATATTCCACAATCCGAAAAAGCTCCAAATCTGAAAGTATTTCTGGTCTCACACATTTTTTTTTAAGATTTATTTATTTATTTGAAAGTCAGAGTTACACAGAGAGAGGAGAGGCAGAGAGAGAGAGAGAGAGAGAGAGGTCTTCCATCCGCTGGTTCACTCCCTAATTGGCAGCAATGGCCACAGCTGCACAGATCTGAAGCCAGGAGCCAGGAGCTTCTTCCAGGTCTCACATGCAGGTGCTGGGGCCCAAGGACTCGGGCCATTTTCTACTGCTTTCCCAGGCCACAGCAGAGATCTGGATCGGAAGTGGAGCAGCCGGGACTCGAACCGGCGCCCATATGGGATGCCAGCGCTGTAGGTGGCAGCTTTACCGGCCACGCCACAGCGCCGCCCCTGGTCTCAAACATTTTGGAGAAGGGCACTGGCCCTGTATCAGGTTGCTCACTGAGGGACTCTTGTTCAGCTCCTCTGGGTTCTGTGGCCTCTTCCCCCTGCTTCTTCAAAGAGAAAGCTGCTATTCTGTGACTCTAGAAACAATGTGAGGATACTTCTTGGTGGAGACACTTTTATCAGCAAGTCCAAAATGCATATTGACTGCCTTCGTGGGTTCCAAAAGCCGGCAGCACAGATGGAACGAGCTTTGACAGTTTACTCTTCATGTATGTGTCTTCAGATCTTGGAGAGTGGGTTGTGATCGTCCTGTGGTGGGGAGGTGAGATGTCCTCACTGCAGGGAGAGCAGCCAGTGTTCTCCGTCTCCTCACAGGGGGCGGAGCTGACTGCGTCTGCATGCAGGAGAGCCGTGAGAGCTGGAGTCCACATCTGTCTACTTCTCCCAACCAAACAGGGCAGGAGAAAGAGTGAAGGGGCTGGCGCTGTGGCGTAGCAGGTAAGGCTGCTGTCTACAGTGCCTGCATCCCATATGAGTGCTGGTTTGTGTCTTGGCTGCTCCACTTCTGATCCAGCTCTCTGCTGTGGCCTGGGAAAGCAGCAAAAGATGGCCCAAGTCCTTGGGCCCCTGCACCCACACTGGAGACCCGGAAGAAGCTCCTGGCTCCTGGCTTCAGATCGGCACAGCTCCGGCCATTGCGGCCATTTGGGGAGTGAACCAGTGAATGGAAGGCCTCTGTCTCTCTCTGTCTCTCTGTCTCTCTGTCTCTCTCTCTGTTTGCCTCTGCCTCTCTGTAACTCTGCCTTTCAAATAAAATACATAAATATTAAAAAAAAGTATGAAAATGAGGGACCTACAGTCTTTATCTCTGATGTGATTAGGAGCCATGGGAAACCCGAAAACCAAATTATTCCTTGACCTAATCCCACCGGGGGAGGGAGAGGCACCTGTTTCCCAGGAGAGCAGTGGGCAGGGGCAAGAGTTTGGCCTGGTGGTTAGAACACTTACGTGCTGCATTGGGATACCTGGCTTCAGTACCTGGCTCTGACCTCTTACTTTGCTTCCTGCCAATGCAGACCCCAGGAGGCAGAGGTGACGGCTCAAGTAATTGGGTTCTCCCACCGCCACGGGAGAGACTCTGGTTGAGTGTCTGGTTCTCAGCTTCAATGCTGGTCTAGCCATGGCCCATTGTGGGCATTTGGGTGGTGAACCAGTGGATGGAAGCTTTCTCTGCCTCTTGAGTGAGTGAGTAAGTAGATAAATAAATGAATAAAACCTTTAGGAGAAGGGTGGTGATGTCATTGAAACTTTATTTCGGGGGTGGGCAGAGGCACCAGATTATTTGATTCATCTATGTGAGCAAATGGACACATTTCTTTTTCTTTTTAAAGAGTTGCTTATTTATTTGAAAGTCAGAGTTACACAGAGAGAGGAGAGGTGGAGAGAGAGAGAGAGAGAGAGAGAGAGAGAGAGAGAGGGAGAGAGAGGTCTTCCATCTGCTGGTTCACTCCCCAGATGGCCAAAATGGCTGGAGCTACGCTGATGCAAAGCCAGGAGTTTCTTCTGGGTCTCCCACACGGGTGCAGGGGCCCAAGGACTTGGGCCATCTTCCACTGCTTTCCCAGGCCATAGCTGGATCGGAAGTGGAGCAGCCAGGACTCGAACCGGCGCCCATATGGGATGCCAGCACTGCAGGCAGCAGCTTTACCTGCTACACCACAATGCCAGCCCCTCACAGTTATCTTCAAAAAGCTGTGTGATTTGACACAGAGTTAGCTTCTCTGTGTCCAGCCAGCAGGACTGTCCCGAATTGGCTGTTGGCTGGAATGTGTATACCAGGAAGGATGACCCTTGCCGGGCCGGGACAGATGCCAGGCCCCAGCCCCTGAGGACGGCTGAGTTCCCCTTCTTCCACGCCTTGGTGCTAATCACCGTGTTCTTTGCCTTCCTGACAGCGACATCATCGCCCTGGTGGCCCAGGTGACCCCCATTTACGCCGTTTCCCATCTCTTTGAAAGTCTTGCTGTAGGTATTGTGCAGTATTGCCTTGAGCGCGCTCATGAGCTATTAGGATACTTCTGGAAGGCCCTGGAAAATGAAAGTGAAAGCGATTCTGTGGGTGTGACACATTTTGCAGTACATACAAGGAGTCTTCAGAAAGTTCAAGGAAAATGTGTATCAGGAGAAAACTATGCATGGGTTTCCAAAACTCTTTGTGCCCAGAATAAATTAATCTTTTATTATCTATTTATTTTCATTTTATTTGAGAGAGAGAAAGAGAGAGAGAGAGAGGGAGGGAATTTTCCTTCTACTGGCTGACTTGGCAAATGCCAACCCATTAGGGCTGGCCAGGCTAAAGCCAGGAGCTCCAAACTCAATCTCCTCTCCCACATGGATGACCAGGACCCAAGTACTTGAGCCATCATCTCCCGCCATCTGGGATGTGCATTAGCAGGGAGCTGGATTGGAAGCAGAGTAGCTAGGACTCACACCAGGCACTCTGATATGAGAAATGGGTGCCCCAAACACAGGGTTAACTACTGTGCCACAGGCCCACCCCTAAATTTATCTTCCAATTTGATGTTCTACGAACTTTTTGAAGTACCCTCCTATGTATTTCTTCTGTGGTGACAATTTCAACAGAAAAGAAGGTCTAGGGTCGGTAGTAAAATTGAATGTTGTTCTACCATCCCATTCGCTTTAGAGGAAGACTGTCCCATGGGCGTGGACTGCCAAGTCAGGGTTCCACGTAGGGATTGGCTGGGCCCTGGGGATGGGGTGGGGGATCTTTGGAGCAGCACGGTGTTCACACTGATGGGTGATGTCGTCTGCCTACAGGGAACGAGCGGTGGCATTTTGAGGGGAAGTGGCAATCAGAAGTTTGGAGCCATTGTCAATGCCATTGGGTATTACGTGGTGGGTCTCCCCATTGGCATTGCTCTCATGTTTGCAGCCAAGCTTGGAGTGATTGGTAAGCTTTAACTGTGGGTGGGCAGAGCTTGGGTACCATGGCCTGGAAAATGACCACTGGGACACTCAGCGATCTGACTGAAATTCTGAAACTTTCCTACATTCACTCTGTGCCTTGTGGCACAGAGCAGGAAGGGGACAGGTGGGGAGCTACGTGGTGACGTATCTCTTGCTGGTGCAGGTGATCTTGTACCAGCCACACTTGTGCCCAGGATGCCTTTTTGACTTAGCCCCCGTCTTGAGCTGTCTAGTTCCCACTTCTTCAAAGGGGGGCGGGGACAATGAAGACCATTGGAAGAAGCATTCGGAGTTGTGCTGAATCTACTTTTAGAGACAGCCCTTGGATGGTGAGACCCTGTGAGGGAGTCGGCTGGGCTGAGGCTGTGGCACCCTGGCCATCTTGGAGGGTTTGGGGTGAGGCTGGAGAAATCTGGGCTGGTGGCTAAGTCAACCCCAGCACAGCGCCCCCTTGTGTTCACCTGTATGGCACGGCAGCATTCATACAGGGCAAGGCATGGCCCTTCTCTCCTTGTCACCGTCACCCCATTCTGCTGTCTCCATCTCCTTCCTAGTGTCTCGCGTGGGTGTGATGAGTGTGGGTGGCACAGAGGGAGAGAATGCTCTCTGGCCTTACTGCGTTTGTAGGGAAGAATTTAATCCACAGGCTCTGAAGTTGTCAGAGGTCATCTTTTTGAGAGGAGGGAAATGCATGACTTGATTTCTAAAATAACAGTTGGGAATTCACTGGCAGTTAACAAGTGATTGTGTTA